TTCTACTAAGGTGTTTCTATGACAGATCAAAAGCCCTGGTTCTTGGCTACAAGATGATATGTAAATTATTCCTGTAGTATCAATATCCGCGGAGATATTCACGTTTAAATTTTGAACGTCCGTGAAAAATTCGGCATAAATTTACGGAAAATTTACGTCGAATTTTTCACAGACGTTCAAAATTTAAACGTGAATATCTTCGCGGATATCGATGCTACAGAAATAATTTACATATCATCTTGTAACCAAGAACCAGGGCTTTTGATCTGTCATAGAAACACCTTAGTAGAAAATTGTTTCCTGTCTCGTAAATTGCGATCAAAATCAAAAAAAGTGAATTTTTGGACATAAATTTCTGTGGGTCCTGTTTTTATTATGGAAATTTACGCATCGAAAAATTTCTTGATGTCAGTTTAGTTCAGTTTTCAGTTTGAGTTCCAATTAGTTTCAATTCAATTCTTGTTAATAAAATATTTTGTAATTTACTTTATAAATAATAAATATCTATGTGAATTATTATTTATACCATTGTAATTTCTTAATAAAATTCTGTATTATTCCTTGGTGAAATACTAAAACCTTTGTTAAATTATACCTTGTTTTGTGATCTTGGTATATTGTTTTTGTGTTATAATTCTCTACTTGATGTTAAGAATTATTAGTTTAGTTTAGTTTAGTTATATTCTTTGTGAATAGTTTAGTTAAAACCCTTATAAAATCTCATAGCTTTACCTCTTTCAAACAAATTCGTAACATCTAAATCCTTCAAATATCATACTTTTTAATATAAATTAGTTAGTAGTTTATTATATTTTAGTTTAGCTACCATACCTTTAATTAATAGTTAATCCTATCTCTTGAAGGTCAGATCACGGTCAACACTATATACATTCAAGAATATGTATCAATAAATGGATATTACTTGTAATGAATTCAGGTTCATAGGTTCTTTCTATATTTATAGACATATCCCTTAATTATTCTTGTGCTTCTCGTAGATTGTCTTCTGTAACAAATCTAATAACTAATAAGTTATATGCCCAAACAAAATGTTCTAAAATATTTTTATCATTATCATCTAATATGTCACATAGAATTGTTATTGCATATATTATAATGAACATCTTCCATTGATCAGCAGTAAATATTGAAAATTCTTCTTCAATAATAACCTTTAGCAGAATTACTAGTTAAAAATTTATAAATACTACATCTATTAGATATCTAATAGGTGTAAGAGTAATGTACATGTTCATACACTTATTGGATACCTAATATATTTATCAGATACTCAATAAGTGTATGAATATGTATATTACTCTTACACCTATCAGATATCCAATAGGTATAGTATTTATAAATTTTTGACTAGTGAATTTAACCAATATTGAATTAAAGTTGAACACTATCTATCATCCTTTGTGCTATACGAAGTTACTCAGAATTTAGTTTATTTTCTTTAACAAATATAAATTGAATTATTCATTTGATGATTCCAAGGAATAAACAATATATAGAATCTACCACTACAAATCTAATTGGATCCATATATGAAAGACAAAATAATTTAGACTAACGTACTTCATGCTTTTTGAAATAAACATTTCTTATTCCTCTGATGTCACATCTAAACTATTCTTGAACATATTTTCTATGTAACTGGAAATTTGCTGATTCTGATAACCATTGTTCATAATCTTGCATACCTCCATAGTATACCTGCCACCCAAATTCAAAATCCAAATGCCGAAATCCCAAATGCCGAAATTCCAAATCCCAAATCCCAAATTATAATTAGTATTTTTTGCTGAAATCCCAAATCCCAAATCCCAAATACTAGTAATTTGGAATTTTGGCGTCCCAAATCCCAAATGATTTGGGATTTGGGCAACACGTATACTCCATAGTGAGTCTTTTTAAATGTCTTACTATATTAACTTCTTTTCAAGCACCGTGACATTTCATCACTGAAGATCTATACCCAAATAATTTTCATATAGCTGGAATATCAGAAAAATCTACTATTATTGTAACTCTTATATCGAGCCTATCCTTATTTTCATATGTTTCAGAAACTTTCCATCCCTCCCATAATTCCTTAAAGTCATTAACTATTGATGATAAATAATGATTAATTTGATTTTTATCAGTTTCTTTAGGTCCTGAAAAAAAGTTCAAATAATTATATTTTTGAACTTATTTCTTTCAGCCCTAAGGAAATTGTATATCGAAATATAAATAAAACCAGTACTATGTTGTGTATACTTAAAAAGTTAGAATCAGTCTAAATTTATTAATAATCCTAAATTCAAGGTGGCAATTTCTGAACTAAAAAATTTATTACCATCAAAAAAAAATGAATTCCAAATTCTCCTATCATATATATCAGCATAGATATTGCTGTTATAATTTCTTGCATCCATTTTTTCAAAACCTAATCTTTGGTACATGATATTTAATTGTTATTTAATTAAAGGTTTAGGATATAACATTTAAGAAATAACTACTATATTTTTCATATTTCTTTTGAGAGAGGAAAGTTCATTATTATATAAATTTTTATAGGTAGGTATCAAATTGTTAGGGTATTCTTCTAATGGCAATGCATGATTGTCAACTTATTATTTTTCTTATAATTGCATACAATCGTTGAATTATATAATTTATGACAATTTGTATAAATTGCTATTCTTAATTTTAGTTGAAAAATTTCTAACTTCTTTTTTGCTAAAAATAAAGAAGCAGGAAATTTACAAAACTTAGAATCATCGATTATCGTAAGGATATAGTTTAAAAACTTAATTAAGGTATCCAGTATCATATCAGGTATCTGGTATCTTTGTTGAAACTTAAATAACCATAAAAGAATTTCTATATCTAATTTATCTTTCAACTCTACTCCTTTATAATTCTCCTCTTCATCCTTTAATTCAGATACACCAAATAAATTATTAAATATTCCTTCATTATTTATATCATTATCTTCATCTTAATTTATATCATTACCAATTTCATCATTGTTATTTTCTTTACCATTGTTATCATTTTCATCTTCATAATCATTATAATCTATTAAATTATCTTCTAACTTATCTTCTAAATCAAATAAAATTTCATCATCATAAATATCAGGCATCAACTCTTTTATTTGGGATCTATGAAACTTATCATTTCTTGTACACAATAATGGTGCCATAATCATTTTTTCATCAAAACCCAAACCTCTAAGCATATTATTTATGGACATATTTCTAATTAACTTAGGTACATCAGGTGTCTTCTCAACAGACAAATTTCTTTTTCTTTTTTGCTATTCTTATTTGACGACATATTTTCGTCTATCCGAGATTCATTCACTTAATTATTATAAATATTACACAAGTTAAAATTAATATATTGGATATGTGATAAATATCTGATATGGTCATTTATGCACAATATTATCATGAGTTTCTTCCATTCTAATAATTTTCTTAATTTTTTATTTTATTTCTCATTTGTATTATTTTATTAATATAATTATCTAGTATATTAGTATATATAAATCAATAATATAGATCATAGTAGTCTAGTTACTAGTCAATTTACTGACAAATTTAGTGATCAACTGATTGACCAATTTAGTGATCAACTGATTAACTTACTGGCTAAATTAAATATTATAAAAAGTGTAAGTTTTCTCTTCACCTCAAAGGAGATTCAGATAGTTTTTCAAATAAGATTTGAATAATTCTAAATAGTGAAATTTAGAAAGTAATCTCAACTATAATTAATTCTATTGAATTAATATTTTATTAATCCTAAACTAACTGGATTATTGATTTTCTTTGTAATACACTTATATTTTCTATATTAAAACTCTGTTATTCTTTTACTAATTTATATTTTTCAAATATAAATTCTAATTTATAAAATCTTGTTATTATCTTATAAACCATTGATAAACATAATCAATTCTTACTTAATTTTTTAAATCGATCTTTAAAATTTAATCGTTAATTAATATTTAAAATCCGTGATAATAAATTCTTAAGTCCTTTAATTAGTTTTTAGTATTTAACTTAATATTTCTTTTATTCTTCTTCTATTATCTTTTTCAATTTGTAAACTAAAGTAACTATTTACGAGTTGCTAGTTGTAAATTACTTTTGAAAATCAAAATTAATTCAAAAAGGTGACTAGTAATAATTTGGTACCTTCTAGTGATAACAAATTAAAATTTTTATAATTGTTCTATTCCTTATTTTAATAATCACTAATATAGTATTTTATAATTTATCCTCTTTTAGTTAATTACTTTTCAATACAAAAGTCTTAATTAGTTAGTTATAATTTTAGATAATCATCTTCTTACCTTTTTAGTATTGTAATTTATTTCTATGATTAACACTGAGCAAGTTAAAGAGTTTAACAAAACTATTAAAGAAATAACTGAATTTTATCAACAAAAGATAAAAGCTATAGTTAATCAAACACCTAAAACTGAAGATCCTGTATGAAAATTAGATGACCTTGAAGAATTACACAAAATTAGAAAACAGTTAAACTTACTCTTTTGAATTTGAGACAATTGCTATAAAATCTTGAATGACTTAAATTTTTTAAAAGATATTTTCTGTTTATTAAACTAATCTTTCTAATAAATAATCTACAGTTTTGAGTTACCAACCGCCAACTGAATCCCTTATCACATATGTTATCAAAAAGTTACAACAGATACATTTGAATACTCCTGTTGATTTCTCACAAACTGTTTATACTCCACAATTACTCTCCACAGTGATGTCACCTCAAGATTCTCCGTTGTTATCTCCTGAGGATAAAAAGACTCAGCCTAATAATCCTTTAACTACTCCTATAGTTAGTTCATCTATGAACACTACTTCATCCAAAAAACAAGAAAAACTATCATTCCTAAGTCATTAGTATGAATACTACAAAATATTAAACAAAAACAAAAATCAAGTACCCCTAATTAAAATATAATCAAAAGTTCAATTAACACTCATCTGCTATTATTTTCAGCCACTATAAAGTTATTGAAGGAAGAGAGAGATTTTGAAACTAACACCACCAGTCCTTTCATCTTAAGTATACTTAAATTATCTGCAGAATCAACCTTACTATATCCTTCTTCTTTATATTTTCCTTCTAGTCAATTAAATACAATTTTAACACAAGTAAACACTAATACCTAGACAACTAATTTAATACAACAGATTAAAGGAGGAGACTATTTTGAATCTTCTAAATTAAAAATAAATATTTTAGATAGTACGCATTTATCAAATAAATCATCTTCATATTCTAGAGATCAAGTGTATTCAAGAAAATAACAAACGTTATTAATTAAATCTAGTAGTTTCAGAATTTCAGTTGGAACTTCTAAACAGAAACAGAAACAAAAGAAGAAACCTATTGAACACTTTCCTACTTTTAGTTATTTTGATAATACCGATAATAACAGTAATAGTAGTGACAATAATGAAAGCAGTGATGATATAATGTCAAATGCACAAATTTTAAATTATCTTCAACACAATGTAGGAGATACTACCATTTAAATAGAACCTTTTTATGATGTCACGTATCCAGTGTGACAATGTTCTAAAGGATAGAGAATCTTCTCTAACAAAAATTAACAAAAGGTTATGTAATTATTATGCTATTCCTAATGATCCTACTTGATCAATTATAACAAATTACAAAGTTAAAGAAGAGGGTCAACTTAGGAGTGAATTCTTTATTGTGA